CTGAACCTGTAGATGTTCTTCACTCAACGCGGTCTTGGGAAATATAAACATAAAATAAAATCCAACGATGTCTCCTTAGTACCTCTACGATATTTTGGTTAACTTCCTACTCAGTCATATGGACATTTCAATTTACAGCTTTCTCTGCTTTAGCACTTTTATTCATTATTAATTCACACATATAGGCAACAGCATTCCTTAATTCCATAGATGCTCCATTGCTGATTGTAATCAGTCTGGTAGAAAGAAAAGAATCAGTAGGAAAAAGTCATTGACCTGGTGGAGTGGGGACAGAATAATTGTAGAAGAGGACTCTTGATTGTCAAATTAGAAATTTCATTTCTCCTTTTCCTTAAATCTTTCTTATCAGATCTTGTCTAATTTTTTTTTCTTCCCATTCTTTCAAACAAGAAGACACTAATTGTTGCACTGTCTCTGGTTTGTTGTAAAACAACTATTGTTTTAGGTTTGTTGGTTTGTTTTTTTTTTTGAAATGCATCATTATTTTTTTTTTTTACCACAGTTAAAAAAAAAGAAAAAAAAAAGAAAAAATGCACAGTCTTTGGAACAAAAGAATTAAAGGCAGAAATTTAAAGGAAAAAAACATATTCAAAGAACATAGTGAGGTATAAAAAAGTTTTAGGTTTCTTGCTGTTTAGTGAATATTAGTGCTTTCAGCCACACCAAAGGAGTCTTAGGTGTTAATGAAGGATTAAGGTTTTTGTTTGAATTGGCTTTTACTGGGTGCTCCAGGCTTGGTTCTTTGCTCTTTGACAGAGGACCTGAAAACTAGCACATTTTCTTTGAAGTTCCAATAAAAAAAGAATCCCATTTCCTCAAGACCTTTAGGTGATTTTGGTCTTCAATAACTAGAAGGGTACAACAGGAAGATGACATAGAAATAATCTTATATTCTTAGGAATTGCTTTGGCCAAGCTTCTGGTTCCATTCTACATCTTATAGCAAAGGGCTTTACTAGGGCATTGGCTTTAATTATATTTAAAATGATATATTTTAAATGTACAATATAGGGCAGTCCCTCTTTTCTATGAGGAATACATTCCAAGACCCTCAGTTGGTGCCTGAGCCATGGATAGTAGCAAACCCTATACACATTGATTTTTTTTTGTACCTACACACCTAAGATAAAGTTTAATTTATAAGTTAGGTACAACTTATTACACATTAACAACAAACTAATAACAAAATAGAATAGTTATTAAAATATACTATAATAAAAGGTAAGTGAACGTGCTTTTTCTCATTTTATCAAAATATCTTCCTGTATGGTATTATATGCACCTATTTTCAGGCCATGGTTGACTGTGAATAACTGATACTGCTGTAAGCAAACCAGCCTCTGTGGTATTGCCAGTAGCACATCAGAATATTGGAAGCCAGGCGTCCACTACGGCTCGAGTGTTTGGTCTGAAAACACACTGGGTATGTGCACATGTATACAAGATCCTGGCCACCTGGAGGAATAGAGCAAAGGGTTTATAATGTGATCAAATCTGTGGAAGTTGTTTCTCTCTGTTCCTCACTCTCTTATCTCATGCATGCTCATGCACTCTTTCACAATAAAGGAAAGAGACTACCAGAAAAGTGGAATGGGTGGCATCTCATTTCCTGATCCAAAAGTGTACTACAAAGCTGTGGTAATCAAAACAGCATGGTACTGGCACAGAAACAGACAGGTGGACCAATGGAACAGAATAGAGTCCCCAGAAATAAATGCCCAAACATACAATCAACTGATTTTTGACAAGGGATACCAGTCAATCCAGTGGGAAAAAGAAAACCTCTTCAGCAAATGGTGCTGGAAAAACTGGATTTCCACTTGCAGAAAGATGAATCTGAACCCCTACCTCTCACAAAAATCAAGTCAAGGTGGATCAAAGATCTAAAGCTAAGACCCCAAACTATAAAACTGCTCCTGAAAAACACCGGGGAAACTCTGGGAGACATTGGGGTAGGGGAAAACTTCTTAAATAAGACTCCCAACTCACAGTCTATGATCCCTAAAATAGACAAGTGGGATTACATCAGACTAAGAAGTTTCTGCATGGCAAAAGACATAGTAATTAATGTGAATCGACAGTCCTCAGAATGGGAAAATATTTTTGTAAATTTTGCATCAGTTAAGGGACTGATAACCAGAATACACAAAGAACTAAAGAAGCTGTTTGGA